TTTTCACATAGCTGATAATCTAGAAGTCCAGTTTTCATGTGGAAGGAAAATAGACAAAACTATTGGGTTCACCAACCATGCATGAAAAGTTGAATGATTCGTAAGTTTTATTCATTAATAATTATTTTTATGTATATTATATATATTATTTAGCCCATCAATTATAATTGATTCTTATTGTTGCAATTCAAATTTTGGTTTTTTATTGTCAACATTGTTAATGTTTCATGCAAGCACGATGATAAATTATAGATTTTTCAAGCAGCTTTAATTTAATCTTTAATTGCTATTTATGAGATTGAAACGAACTAATCAAGTTGGTGATTTTGTAGCGACCTAAGTAGTTCACACTTCAAATTAATTTGCAGTTTGATATAAATATACGGGGCAACTTGTTTGGTTCTTAAGAACATTACTTTATATGAATCTACATATTCTCAATGTAGTGATGCAATTAAGTTACTAATATCATTTGATTTTTCAATCATCTTACATATAATGTGAAGAATGTTACGAGAATTACCGATGTGCTTCGACAAGTTTTGCAATAAAAATCTCAAAAAATTTTAAATGTTATAGATTTGGTGTCTACTACAAGACTTTGATTTAAAAGCTAAGGGATAATAATTAAGATACTCTTTTAGAAGAAACGATATCATTTTATAAGCATTAACACATTAAAATTCTTGATATGGATACTTGTTTTTCTAATATGGGATAACCTCACCGTAAAAAAAATTTAGTAATATTTGAGCACTGCTATCAAATTTATATATTTACAACCACCATTGATCAACAATTGCAAAATCTAAATAATAGATTTGATGAGCACGTGATTGAGCTTTTTTATGTTGAACATAACTTTGGATTCTAAAAATACCTATAAATTATTTAATGTTGAAGATATATTCATATTTATTGATAAGTTTTATTCTAAAAATTTTTATGACCAAGAAAAAATTCATTTGAGATTTCAGTTGTAGTATTATAAGTTTTATATACTCAATCATCTAAAGTTAAAGAACTTGTCATTGATTGTTGATTGATTGAAACTAGTAAAACTTGAAACTAGAAAATCATTATTTTAACCACTCATTGGCATTCAACTTATTTTAACTTTTTTTTCAATAATAACTATTGTATGAGTTTTTTTAATAATGAAAATTGTTAAAATAAAACTTTGCAATCTGATGAAGAATTATTTTCTTGTAGATTATTTGATTGTTTATAAAAAAGAATTATTTTCTTGTAGATTATTTGATTGTCTATAAAAAAAATTGCTAAAAAATTCATAATTGATATGATAATTAATTATTTCTATTCCATGAAAAAACAACAAGCACAATTAAAATAAAAATATAAAATAATGCTTTGTTTTAGTTAATGTTTCTTATACACTTTAATTATATATTTGTATTTGATAGGTATGAAAACTAACAAAATTAAAATGATAGATATATTATAAAAATAAAATTAATTTTATAACTATGACTCAATTTAATATTATTTTCAACCTTTTACAGTGTATAAAGATTTTTTTGCACAAAACTAAATCACGCAGTCGTTTTGTATTTATAATAGATGTATATGTATAATAGATTAGAAAATAATTTCTACCTTGTGAGATATATTACTTTTGGTCCCCTATAAAATAATCCTAGGTTCGCCCCTGGGTGTTGAAGCTAAGGTACTTTTGTTTCTAAAATATTTTATTTTTCATAGGCATGCTTGTCCTTCTACAAATTAAATACTTGATGTTGTTGGTGTACAGAAGCATGCATGTCTTGCTCAGAGTTTTGGGAAAAGGTGGGCTTGTTTTTTCACAGTCTATATCATCTGCTTGGGTTGCACCAATGATTCTGGCGTAAGGTTTTTATGTTCTTATACTCTTAACATGACACAGCAAATTGTCAGTCTCCGCTTGAATATCAGCACTGATACAGCAGACTAGCTCATTTGAATACCCTTCTGTGGAACTAAAAGATGTTACTAGCAGTTTGGTACTTTTATGCGACTTAAATTATTTCAGTGGCAAAGATGGGGGCATAAGCGAACCTGCAGTAGCTTCTTCTTGTTGATTGTTTGCTGCATGCCATAGTTGCACTCTCAAGCTGTAATGAAGGAGCTTTTATATTCACGTGTTCCAACTGTCCGAGTAGCTAGAGTTCTAGGCCAAAGTATTTAGTAGCCAGCTCATCTTTTTCCTCTTCTAAAGGGTTCAGTCATTTGAATGTTGCCATTTCTGGGCCCTACATTGATGCACCAATAATCAGGATTCTAATGATTGTGATCTAAATTTGTTTTTCGAATCCAATAATCAGGATTCTTTGATGACGAGAATAATTGCCTATGTTACTTGTTAACTGTTTCTTTTTCTTCCTTTTTTTTTTTTTTTTTCTTCCAGCGATTCTTTTTCAAGTCCCAGGTGATTGCAACGAACAAATTTAAAATTGGAAAGTGTGAAGACTTTGTATGAACTACTAGAATATTTTCCTGAGCAAGCTGAATATCTCAGCAAGATGATTAGCAGTTGATTTGGAAAATATGAGGTCCAAATGCACGCTGTTTCAGAAACAGCAGGGCTGGTTACGATTATGTTTTCGACTCAATACTTTCAATTCACTTGGCGTAAGGAGTTTTGATATCCCTCAGGAATGGTTAATCAACTTAATTTCGAGTTAGTTTAGGCTGCACAATTCCTGTTCAATTCCGGTCCTCGATAGAGAGAGAGCGTTTTAGATGGCTCCAGTGTTGTTCCAAGTTTTTGGTGTTTTTTCTTGGATTTTAAAGGCCAATCTATTCTCAGCATGGATACTGCCTGCTATTCTGCAACAGGAGCTCTTTATGTATCGTGTGTTGGTTCACTTTTCGAGAGTGATTTTCTCTTTATGAAGAACACGCACTGGATTCTTGAATGTAGCAGTGTTTCGGGTCCAGTTTGGTCCCTTTTTAATTTAAAAATTCAATCGAACTAAAAAATATTTTTTTTTTGTTAATATAATTTAGATCTGAGAATAGATTCAAATCAAATCGGTTTTATTCGGTTTGGGTCAATTTTTTAGTTTTAAAAACTAGAAAAACCAAAATTAATTAAATAAGAGAAACCTTAGGCAAATCACAGTCACTTGATAAACTTGGCTGAATCACATTCAAAAAAATCTTTGTTGAAAACTTTGAATTCAAGTTCTTCAATTGAGATCTGAAAGATCTATTTTAACTAAATCACAATCATTAGATTTATCCAAGTTAACACAACTACATATTAACAAAGATTTTAACAGTGTCCTCCAAGCTACCAAGACCTCATGAGCACAACAACATGTTAATAGAACTAAAAATAAGGATTTTATTAAAGTTTTTTTGTCAGAAATTAAAGCAGAGAATAGAAAGGTAACATTATAAGAAAAAAGAGTGCAGATAAAAGAGAGTGGGAGAAATGGAGGGGTGGGATAAAAAGGAAGAAAAGGCAAGGAAAAAGAGAGAGAGAGTGGGAGGGAGGGATTGTGAGGCAGCTAGAAGAGGAAGCTGAATAGCTGGAAAAGTAGGATTAGAATTTTTAAATTTAGGATGTTTCTTTTTATATTTTTTTAGATTTAATTAAACTTGTTTGATTTTAAATTTTTTTAAACCAGAACCAAACTAGATGGTTTTTTATTTTTTAATTGGTTTATTCAATTTTTTTTATTAGTTTGATATTTTCAATTAATTTTTTTAGTTTAATTGATTGATCAGTTTTTTTAAAATACCTTTACTTTAATAAATGTATTGGTTTTTTCAGTCAACAAGATAATTGGCGAGTCCTTGCTAGGTGAACTAATCCGGACTAATTACAAGTGTTTTCTTTTACACATGACTAATTAAGAATGTTAAGCATGTAGGCTTCGGAATTCAAATATATTTATTTGTTGAATGGGTTGGGCCGTAGCAAATGGGTTGTATACTTTGCATATCATCGTATAACAATGAGTCAAGGCAAGAGGGACCTGTGCATCGTGTGTTTCACCAAAGAATGATTAAAGGCAAATGTAATATTTGAGATAGCTTTTATTGAAAGCTGAAACCTGACCTCAGATATGCAAAATTCTTGAGGTTACCTGCATAAGTTCACACGTAAAAGATACTAATTTAATTTAAAAATTTAAACTATTAGGTAAAATTTTAAAATATAATTTATATTATTTTTTAATATATTTTTTTAAATAAAAAAGTTTTAGACTTAAAATTTATATAAATCCATATTATTTTTTTCTTGATTTTTTTAAATCAATAAAAATAATGAAATCTAAACCGATAACTACTTAATTATTAAGATTCTGATAACATATTAAAAAATCAATTCAACATAAAATTTTAAATTATTAAATAAAATTTTAAAATATCATTTATATTATTTTCTCGTGCCATTAACGAAACCGAAAAGAAACCTCCAAAATCTCGCTTCTTAATTATTCTGGAGAAACTTCATAGTTAAACAAAGAATAGTCTCCCATCCATTATAAAATAACCTGATGTTGTCTGTGATTTTTATTAAGGGCTAAATACCCACCAGGTAGGTCTTAATTTCATCCAACTGGGGCAATCAAATAGGCCCTGTTGTTTTATCTTGTCTACTAGCAAAAGCTGAAATGGAATATATATATCTGTTCGCGGCACTAAGAAATTGCAGGTGCGAACCAGTAACAATTCAAAAAATGCATTGAAGATTGGTTGGTAAGCAGTGCCGTATCCATTAACCTAGAGGGAAATTTCAACATGTGTCTCAATTGAGGTGTTTTGATTTGGTTAATGATACATAGGTAGCAGTCCATGTATATCATGCATGCTAGCTAATAGCTATATTGCTTTGGAGATAACGATGTGCGTAAGTTGGGCACGTCTCCCCTTTCACTTGAGGGCAGTTGAACAGAAGTAGGTGAGCTGCAGTTGGCTTTACCCATGGCTACAAGAGATGGAATTGAGACTCGGACGGACTCTCCTTTCAATACCTAGCAAACCATCTTCATCTCTCTATTTGTAGGCCTGTCCAACCTCTTCTCAACTTCCCAGGTTTCCAACCCCTTATATATATTCAATCTTACGTACATCCTCAGTTCTTCTCTAATCATTATCTTTGTAGCCCCACAATGGAAGGCCAAGAAGCCCCACCACCACCACCACTACCACAATTTCCATCACAGAACCCTCCCTATCTCTTCTCGCCCTCACTGCTCCTATCCTCCTCATTGCACCCTTCTATAATTGAGCCTCAAAGCCTTCCAGATATTGATTGGGTTGGCCTTCTCTCTGGCCAATCCGGGCTCGGAGAGAATAGGTCTATCATGGACAGTGCTTCTATGGTAGCTGAAAATGGAGCTGAGGAAGAAAAGGATAAGAAGAAAGGTGGAAGAATGAAAAAGACAACCCGGCCAAGATTTGCTTTTCAAACTAGAAGTGCAGACGATGTTCTCGATGATGGATATCGGTGGAGGAAATATGGGCAAAAGGCAGTGAAGAACAGCAAATACCCCAGGTTTGCTTGTAATTAACTTAATTAGACTCCTAATAATCATTCTAAAACAAAACAAAACAAAAAAAATCCTTGCATCATCTAACGTTGCATGGTATGCATTTTTAGATGTTATACGTAACCCAATTACTAATTAGTCCGAAACTCCGAATTGATATTTTTGATGAGCGAAATAAAGTTTGTCATTGGAATTTCATCTTTCTTTTCTTTCCTTCCTTTTAACAAAATATATATATATATATAAATACATAAGAGGTGATAGTTTGTTGATTGCCTAATTATAATAGTCGTAGGTGACTAGAGTCTAGACATCCTTCTCTTTTTTCAGCTAGTTAAAACTATATGCATCGATCATTCTTGAGAATTCACCTGTAATCGACACGATTAAATAATTAAAATCATATATAAATTACCGTATTTATATTTAATGTATCTATATATGAAGATTTATAAGGTGTTTCTTTCTTATGTTTTGCCATAAAAATCTAGGTAAGGGTTAGGAATATTCGGAAAGAAAAGCAACCACACGATCGGCAGCTAGCGACTCGAAAACAACAATAGAAATTGTCCAAAAGGATCGATATTATTGTCGCCAATTGTGAATCACATGATATCTGTGAATTACCATATATGTTTTGTCGTTCATTTTTCCAATAACATCATATAGCTATACGCATGCGCATGCTATTAATTGCTTTTCAGATCTTTATCTTTCCACGATATTTTGATTTCTTTGTAGGAGGATTTAATTATGAGCTACTAACTTTGATGAGAAGAACAGAGATTTAAATGCGGACAGTAATATTTTAGTTAATTGATACTATTATTCTCAAGATTATAACAGATGAACGCATTATATTTATAATTCAGGAACATAAAAATGATGAGAGATAATTAATTGAAGCAGTGAAACAAAAAAAGTATTTTTCTTAATTAATCAATGAGACTACTGCAACTTATATATATATATATATATTCCAAGAGAATTTAATAAATTCTAAAAAAAACGTTGTTTGATATCGGGATACATCCTTTAAATCATCCATACTAACGTATAACTATTTGAAAATATCAACCATTTATCTCGAATTGAAAAAAAAATTATACCATGGCGAAGTCATGTGGACCAAAATATTTTGAATGATAAATGCATGAATCCCATTATTACTATATATTGAATATATATTACAATTATTATAGATTTATTTAATGCAGCAAGTGGTTTATCTTATGGTCTTGCACTATTCATTTTACAAATCTTGGACATAATTTAGAGTGCATAATTAATTTTTGTCCCTATCTCCTTCAACTATTATTTTTTTGCGAAATAATTCTTACTCCGGCACTTTGATTTCATTTTGCGCAAAGGAGTTACTATCGGTGTACACATCATACATGCAACGTGAAGAAACAAGTGCAAAGGTTATCCAAGGACACGAGCATAGTCGTCACGACTTATGAAGGAATTCATAATCATCCATGTGAGAAAATGATGGAAACCCTAACTCCTCTTCTCAAGCAGATGCAGTTCCTTGCTAGGTTTTAACTTCTTCAGCTTTTCTACACTTTCAAGAACAAATCAAGCAGACCTCCTG